CCAACTGACCCTGCCGAGGCTTGGACCAGTGACCTTCCTGCTGTGAGGTGATTGTGCTACCCACTGCGCCACCGTGCTGCTAATTTAATTATTGTTCAAAATGCACATTTTAGCATGTGTTAGCAGATCATATTGTAGAGCAAGATGTCAAACTCTCATCAAAGTATATATATACACCACAAACTTATAAACGTACAAAGAGAGAAAGAAATTCTATTCTAAAGACCTAAAAGAGGTTTTTGTTCACATAACACCCCCAATACTCGACAAATAAAGCATGAACAGTGCTCTAGCAGACGGAAATACTTATATTTGAGATGTACATGCAAAAAAAGTAGTGATTAAAAATCACTTGGAATTTAGTGGGTGGCATTTATTGCTTGATATTGACATCAAGATATTTATGAAATGTTCTTGTTTTGAAATGAGATCTGTAATGATTCTTCAGAATTTCCCATTTGTGATTTAGAGACGCGAGTCATATAAGTTTACAACAACATGAGAATGCATGAACTATTGCAAAATTCCCTGTTTTTCAAAAATAAATGTTTGTTGTAATTTTACTCATACAAACTCATCCATGTTTTTTTTACTTTCCTTTTTCTTTTTTATTTTAATGGAAGATTTAAAAAAAATCTTTCTGGAACTGGAAGCTCACACTGACTGCCATGAACACTATTTTCAAGGCTGTGTATTAAAGATAATAATTTAACAAATAGGCTAATGTTTAGGTTTTTGCATAGTCATTTAACTTCCCAAGGCCTCAATGTATTCAAGGAGCCAGGAATATTAATTTTGTTTTGCCTGAACTTGTTTTATTGACTCTTAAAATTTGGTTAGCTATTGAATTTGCTTTTATGAATCTCCAAAAACAACAGTTTCAGCTAACACATTTTTGTGAAAATTCTACTCAAGAAGGAAAGTCATCTCAATTTTGGAACCCCCGCGGTTGAGTAAATTAACAGCAAAATTGCATTATTTTTATTTGTCTAAATTATGCCTTCACATCATAGGTCTCAAACTCGATTCCTGGAGGGCCGCAGCTCTGCACAGTTTTGCTCCAACACTAATCAAACACAGCTGATCCAACTAATCAAGGTGTACTACCCTCTCAATTGAGCGGTCACTTTGGCGGTACTTTTGCAAAAGGTACATATTTGTACCTGAAGGGTCCATAATGATACCTCAAAGGAACGTTTAGGTTAATTTGGGCACTAATATGAACGTTTGAGGTACCACTGTGGACTTTGGGTACAAATATGTATCTTTTAAAAAAGGTACTGCCCCAGAGACAGCTTCTGTACACTTTAAAATCTGTTACTTAGATTAAACTTTAAAAAAATTAAGGCAACTTTTTCCAACTACTTTTTATAAGTTTAGTGAACTTTGTGGTACTTTGATTTGTTAAAATAAATTTTATTTATTTCACTGTTTGCTAAAAAATTAAGTAGAGTCTACAATATAAAGCAAAATCTTTGAGTTTAACTAATGTGACAAAGATCAGTGTATTGACCAGATGATGCTTAATTAAATAACATTTAAAATAAAAAAAATGAAACTAAATCTCTTACTCTTAGTTTATACAAAATATTTTAATCCAACTTTAATAAGGAAAGAGAGGTATTTGTTTCAAACGTTTATTACTCTATAACATTTGCGATATACAAAAAACTGGGTGCACTAAGTTTAATCAATTTTATTGTTAAATTTTATTGTTAAACATTTCAACAATAAAAATTACAGAAACTTCCAACCTAATCTTTAAGTGCAGAATAAAAGACCTTTACAGTGCAATCTGAGCAATTGCTAAAAGCAGTTGAGCAGTTGTTAAAAAATTAGCAATTTACATAAACGGACTAACTTTAGTGCACAGTACATTTTCATATGTACTACGATATTGAAATAAAAAAATAAAGGCCTTTGATCTCAGCATTTGACATTACAAAACAAATTTTGCCCATATATACAAAAGCAAATCAATATTTTTTTGATAGGTAATAATAAGTAACAAAAACAATCGCACTTTTTACCTACGTAAAACTTAAATTAATTAAAAATGAAAAGGTAATAAATGTATTGGAAGAAATATACTTTTTCAGATAAATTCCTATGGACAACACCCTTGAATAACTTTTTACAGTGTATCTTTATTTTTGAGAGTGTCGAGAATATTAAGCAGGTGTGAGTTGGAGGTGGTTGAAGCTAAACTATGAAGTGCTGCGGCATGCCAGTAAAATTGAGTTTAAGACCATTGCTTTAAAACCAATTCCAACAGATCGTTCGTGGAAAACCAGAAGATGGCGCTGTTGATTAAACTTCAGCAAACCGCAACAGAAGCAATCACCTTCCCTAGATTTTTTTCGAGTAAACGTGCTGAAGAAAGTCGTCTTCAACACAATATACACAGTGAGAATTGAGAAAAAATACTGAGATTATAAATTGCAACATTTTTGAGTGTCAAGATATGGCAATACGATTAAAACAAACTAACTGATGTTATGATTATAGATAACCTTTGTGCAGAAATTTAAAAGGTTGCACATAGGTTTATTCATTCATTCATTCATTTTCTTGTCGTCTTAGTCCCTTTATTAATCCAGAGTCACCACAGCGGAATGAACCGCCAACTTATCTAGCAAGTTTTTACACAGCGGATGCCCTTTCAACCGCAACCCATCTCCGGGAAACATCCACACACACATTCATACACACACTCATACACTACAGACAATTTAGCCTACCCAATTCACCTGTACCACATGTCTTTGGACTGTGGGGGAAACCGGAGCACCCAGAGGAAACCCACGCGAAGGCAGGGAGAACATGCAAACTCCACACAGAAGCGCCAACTGAGCCGAGGTTCGAACCAGCGACCCAGTGACCTTGTTGCTGTGAGGCGACAGCACTACCTACTGCGGCACTGCATCGCCCACACATAGGTTTAAAGGAGATAAATATGTCTGTCAAATAACATAAAAAAGAATATATATGAAAAATTTTTATGAATTTGCTGACTGATTTATTTACCAATAACAGCACTTATGATAACTACCAAAAAATGTAAACCTTTAAATGACATATTGCCACTTTTAAATTAAAAAGTTTAATAATAACAACCTTCAACAACAATAAAATCTATTGTTTTCTATATACTGTAAACTAAAAGCCAATGTGATTTTATGTGATCACATTTGAATCTGTTTTTATCTGTTTCTTTTAATTTCTTGTTTCTTTTGTTTTTGTTTATGTAAAGCACTTTGAAATAACACAGTGTATAAAATGTGCTATATAAATAAACTTGCCTTGCTTTTAACATATTTTGTTGAATTTAAGTTACATTGCATCTACAGTTGAAGTCAGAATAATTAGCACCCCAAATCATTAGCTGCCCTGTTTATTTTTTCTTCAATTTCTGTTCAAAGGAGAGAAGATTTTATTCAACACATTTCTAAACATAATAGTTTCAATAACTCATTTCTAATAACTGATTTATTTTATCTTTGCTATGATGACAGAAAATAATATTTGACTAGATATTTTTTAAGACACTTCTATACAGCTTTAAGTGACATTTAAAGGCTTAACTAGGTTAATTAGGTTAACTAAGCAGGTTAGGGTAATTAGGGAGGTCATTGTATGATGATGGTTTGTTCTGTTGACTATCGAAAAAATATATAGCTTAAAGGGGCTAATAATTTTGTCCTTAAAATGTTTTTAAAAAATAAAAACTGCTTTTATTCTAGCCGAAAAAAAAAAACTTTCTCCAGAAGAAAAAATATTATCAGACATACTGTGAAAATTTCCTTGCTCTTTTAAACATAAATTGGGAAATATTTAAAAAAGAAGAAGAAGAAAAAAATAGAGGGGGGCTAATAATTTTGACTTTTTTTAATTTTGAAACTGTGCATGCCAACTAATTCTTATTAGATTATATGTAGACTGTTAGGTTGGGGTTAGTGTTAGGTTTAGTGTAAGTCAACTTACACTAACCCTAACCCTAACTTGTACTTGCAAAGATTCTTATAGTCAGTTTGTTAAATGTCTGTTGAAGGAGCAGGAGTATCAGCAGATATTAAGGAGACAGTCTTCTAATACTGAAATGAGAATTAATTGCCATGTATTTAATGCAAATTTTAGTCAACGAAGTGTGCTACAGAGAGCATCAAAGTAAAGTCTAACCTAATACTGTAATATAGAAATCCCCAGAACAGAATCAAAAATATAATCACATAGCTTTTTTTAATGAAATGCATTGGAGACATATTTGTCCTGAATACATTAAGTGTAACTTATTGCAACTAAATTGTAAAAATATATTAAAGAAAAAATAAAAATTTCAATAAAGTACACATACCAGGGGTTCTAAAAGCCCAATGAAAAAGACAGAAACATCTCTAAAGAGACTCAAGACCAGAGTTTTGCTCTCGTGCGCCTTCTGGTGTGTGATAAAAGTAAACCATATACCACAAATTAAACACATTTGCTGTTTTAATAGTTCTTAGCTACCAGTAAAATTAGTGTCATTTTTGTTCTGTTGTTGACATAAGTTTCCTAAAACATGTTGCTCGTCATTGCTGAACATTTCAACGACAGAGGAAGTGACTCATTTAGATATCTTTTTGTAAATAAAAGGCGCTGAGTAGTCAGAACTAGTCGACTAGTCCTCATAAATGTGTTTTGAATGTGAATTCCTTTGCTAGGGAGTGAAGTGTGTGTGATTTTTTTCCTCCCTCAGCCGCTCCCCCTCCTCCTCCACTCTCTCTCTCTCTGTTAAACAGGATGCTGATACTTCAACAGCTGAGCTCTGCTTCCTGAGTTTCTCTCTAGAGTTACAGGAACGGAGAGGAAGTGTGTGTTTCTGCGAAGGGAGAGTGTGTAGTGAACTGTTGTGTGTGTTTGTCTGTGAGAGAGAGAGAGAGAGAGAGAGGGTAAGAGAGACTGACTGACTATGGAATGCTGTGATGTCACCAGCTAAGTCATACACAAAGGCAAGAAGGCTCACTCTCTCACTCACTTCTCCTCAGTAAAGTCTGCCGTGGAGCTTCCGCGCCCAGCTGTAAGTATATTTCACTTTACACAAGCTTTCCCCTGTCTTTTTCCAACTTACTTTCTGTTTGTCACCATTTTTCTTACGTTACGTTGCCTTAACTGCAGTGTTTTAAATATGCGGGCAGGCATTGTTTTGTTTCAGTGTATGTTGTGTATGTGTTTTGAGTGTGATGTGATCTCGGATTTTTTATCATTTTGAAGTTGTGGATGTTTCTCTCTTAAAGGGAAAGGTCCCGAAAAATGTACTAAAATATGTTGTTATATACTCGTATTTATAAAAGTTTGAGCTTCTTTCTTTGTGCGAATAACACAAAAGAAGATATTTTGAAGAATGTTGTTTTCTATGGGTGTCAGTGGCTGCTTGTTTTTAATCATTTGTTCAGAATAGATTATTTTGTGTTCAACAGAAAGAGAAACTCATGTTTGAAACCAGCTGGGAGAGAATTTTCTTCCCTTTTCTTTACTTTTTTCTTCCTTTTTTGGTGGACTGTCCCTTTAAAGATTCCACAGAATGCAAGTTCGTATGTGGCCAAAATAAGACAATGTTTAGAGCAAAAGTGTTTTGGGAAAAGAACGAGAGAGAACACACCATGCTCTAACTGAGGAATCACTTCAGTCAGGCCTAGAATCATGTGTTTGGGTTGAAGTTAGGCTCCTGACTTTTTAATGCTGAATTGCTTATTTATGATGATAATTCTTAATATAAAAAGTGATTATTTAATCTAATATTGTTTAAAAAAAAGTGTGTGTGTGTGTGTGTGTGTGTGTGTGTGTATATATATATATATATATATATATATATATATGTATGTATGTATGTATGTATGTATGTATGTATGTATGTATGTATGTGTATGTGTATGTGTGTGTGTATGTGTATGTATGTAATATAACTTTTTTTGTGTTAAGTTGACAGTATATGAGCAATTCTTCACAGAGAAAGTATATTTTAACATTATATTAAAACATCTGTTTGTATTTTCCAAAACAACTAAACACAGAGTTATGAGATCAGAACAATATTAATCTGTAATTTTATTTATTTATTTACTTTTTAAATGTAATTTATTGCATTATGTATGTGATGAAATCAAGTTTACAGTCTACAACATACTTTGTAGAAAAACCGTGAATTAAACTGCACAACCCAAAACCAACAATGCTAATCTAAAGGAGAAGAGTTGGCTCACTATAGAACAAACAAAAAATTACTTTATTTTATCTTATATTTTTGCATTCATTAGGAAGAATCTTTGTTATGATGTGATCTCTCTCCATTATGGATGTGACATCTCTCCGTTAAGGATGGGACAGATGTGAAATTGGAACTTGTGTGACTTTGATACTAAGCTGAAAAGAAAATGAATGAATGAATGAATAATAAGCTATTTGGTTTTATGGTATATATAAAAACCTATTACTAATTTAAAGAAAAAAATTGTAAATATATAATTACATTTTCCCCAAAATAATAATTTGACATTATTTATATATTTATGTCTTTTAATGTAAATTAACATCGAAATTGAAATTGACAGCCCTAAAAAAATAAATAAATAAATAAACATATATATATATATATATATATATATATATATATATATATATATATATATATATATACATAAAAATATAAATAAATGCTGCATTTTGTAATAATCCATACAATGTATATTTTTTTCTATATCATCCCCTTATTGTGTATAATCACAATAAATAAACTATATGCAAATAATAATAAGTAATAAAAAAAGAATTAATAAAACACATAAATGCAATAAATCACAAACAAACATTATTATTATTATTATTATTATTATTATTATTATTATTATTATTATTATTAACAATAATTCTAAATATTTTTATAATCTTTTCTACTACTACTTCTGCTTATAATAATAATAATAATAATAATTTTGGGTTTATGCTGTATTTATTAAAAATTAAGATAAAATAATGCAACTGTAAAATAATACTATTACCAATATAAACGCATATCTCTGCAAGGGCATCCGCTGCGTAAATCTTATGCTGGATGAGTTGGCGGTTCATTCCGCTGTCGCGTCCCATGATTAATAAAGGGACTAAGCCAAAGCAAAATGAATAAATGAAGGAATAAATGCACCAAACATATTTGGTTACGTCTTTAATGAATTAATAAAAGAAAGAAAGAAAGAAAGAAAGAAAGAAAGAAAGAAAGAAAGAAAGAAAGAAAGAAAGAAAGAAAGAAAGAAAGAAAGAAAGAAAGGTCGAACGAACGAACGAACGAACGAACATTGACACACACACACACACACACACACATACACTGCGCAGGAAAACTAAGAACAAATCAACTCTTAAAACTCTGATGCCATTATTCCTCCGGATGCTGTAATGTGTGTTTTCTCTTTGACAGTGTGTCCTCTGTATGGCTGCCGGTCAGTGATGCGAGCACGTGTGTGGTGAACAGATCCGTCTTCATCCTCATCTTCATCCTCCATCTGAAGTTTTCGGGATACATTAAGGAACTCCACACACTTGGCCATGCTGCAGCAGATCCTGAAGGACATGTACATCGACCCTGATGTGCTGGAAGCTCTGAATGACGAGCAGAAGAAGATGCTCTTCCTGAAGATGCGCGAGGAGCAGGTGCGCCGCTGGAAGGAGCGTGAGGAGAAGCTGGAGAGGGAACCGCTCAAACCCAAAGCAAAGACAGGTGGGAGATGGATTAATACTGCACTGATTTCATTTGTAACACACAGAGATGTGATAAGCGGTGCAATTTATTGAAGGAATTTAAATATTATAGTTATTTTTCAAACATTATAAATGAATTTGTGTTTTAATATAAAGAATTAAACAGTGCTGAAATTGTTTATTTATAAATCCATTCCTGCACAAAAGTATTTTATAAATTTAAGAAGCTTTTAATAATAATAATAATAATAATAATAACAACAAAAATATTATTATTATTATTATTATTATCAGTTTAAGAATTAGTCATCTTTGGAAGGTCAAATCCTGATCACAATCAGGAATATAAGATCATAGTTGGAATATAATAAAAGGAAAAAAAAAGTATTATGAGAAGTTTCATAAAGTTTTTAAAGTTTCACAATTGTGTGTGATTTCTGTTGTTGTTTTTTAAATAATTTTTATTTAACTGCTTTAATGAAAAATAATTTTATTATTTAAATAAATATTAAAAATGATAATTATTAAAATTCATTTTTGATTTGCTTTAATTATGATTTTGGTTAGTAAATTTTTGTTTGAAATAAACAACAGTAATTATTATAATGCTGCTGCTAATAATAATAATAATAATAATAATAATAATAATAATAATAATAATAATAAAAGCTATTGTTATTATTATTATTATTATTATTATTATTATTATTATTATTACAAGAATAATTAATTTAATAATTAATCAATTAATTAATTCATTAATTAATTATAAACGATATATTTAGTAATAATAATAATAATACTAATATTATAACTAATATTATACTTATTATTATTATATTATTATTATTATTATTTGTTTTTTACTGATGACTATAATGACATTGACTATTAATTGTAATTATTATCTTATTATCATTGCAATTATTAATATTAATATTTTATGTTTATTATTTATTTTTTATATTAGTTTAAGAATTAGTAAACTTAGCATTGGAAGATCAAATCCTGATCACAATCAGAAATATAAGATCATAGTTTGAATATAATAATAGTTAAAAAAATAATAATATGAGAAGTTTAATAAAAGAATAAAAATTATGATTATGGTTTAGTAAATTATTATTTGAATAAAACAACAATAATTATTATAATGCTGTTGCTTCTGCTGCTAATAATAATAATAATAATAATAATAATAATAATATTATTATTAAAAGAATAATTATTTAATTAATTATATATTTAGTAAAAATAATAATATAATTCATAATAAAATTATATAATAATAATAATAATAATAATAATAATAATTATTATTATTATTATTTTGCTACATGCAACAATTAAAAGTGAGTGTTAAAGCATCATGAGTGTGGGTAGATTCTGATAACATCTGTAAAATTATATAAGAAAGTAAAGTTTAAGAACATCATGGTTGTAGACGTACATCATTTTAGCTGAGTACTCTGCTTGTGCAATAGACATACAGTTAGCATGACAGTCACACATTCACTCTTCCTAAAGTTAGTTTCTTGTTCTTGTTCTTGAGGCAGCTCATCAGGGTCTGTGGAGATCAAAGCTTGAGGTTTAAATGTGGGAACTCAGAATTGCTGAAGCACATCTTTAATCAGCGGGTTTTACGGTTCCCGCATCCGCGAGCCACAGAAAACTGAAAACGTCATGCCATGCCAGTCTGCTCCTGCTATTTATTGCTGCTTTTTAAATGACCTCATATGGAACGAATCTTAATGTGGCACATGACTCAGCCAGGACAGAATAGCTGAGCCGATAGCACCCACTTTACCACTATAGTACTGCAGACTTCAGGAAAACATCTTGTGATGACAGAATCAACTCGAGATTTAGCTTTTATTTGTTTATTTATTTTTTAGCATAAAACGTTTACCTAAGATGAGTATCCACTAATATTGGCACTCTTGGTAAACTTGAGCAAAAAAGGCTGTGAAATGTCTTTTATTAATAAGAATTTTAAAGAGCCCATATTATACATGAAATAGGGTCTTATCTTGGTTGTAAGGATCTCCAACAACAGTCTAATATGCATGCAAGGTCAAAAAACACTTTCATGGTTTTATAATCTGCATTTATTTTTACCTAATTATTCCAGCGACTCCCGTATGAATCGTCCAGTGATTCATTTGTTCCCAAACTCCTCCTTAGCGCGAAGCTAATCTGCGCTGATTGGACCGATGACAGTCTGTCGCGATTGGTCGACTGCCTTCAGTCAGAGAGTGAAATGCCCAACAGCTAATCAGCAATATAAAAGTAATCACAGTTCATACACACTCGATAGTGTAGGTGTGGATTTTAGCTGCCAGTGGGTCAATGTAAATACAGTCGATGGACTTGAAAATACAGACGACTAACTATTTTATTGAGCAAAAACTCCAAAAACTGTCAAGGAGATCTTCTAGCTTGTCTCACTCTGCTCTTTTCACAGATACACACACAAACACACATATTGCCCTCGTCCTTGTGCGCGCACACACACACACACCTCCGGAAGACAACACGCGCGCACACACATACACAAACACACACACATACCTCCGGACGACAGCACACGCACACACACACACGCACGCACACACTACCTCGTCCACGGAGCTCCGTAAACAAACTTTGCACGCAATAAGAGAATATTGCCAGTTAAACTGATACAGTTCACGCGGTTACAAGTAACAAATCACAACTAAATACATTTGCAAGCTAGAGTAAACAAGGCAACAACTTTAATTACATGTACTTACACTTGAGAAATGGAGGAAGAAACCCATCCTGACGTCCATCAGTAAGTTACTCTTTACTGATCATTCCTTTAACAAACGCAGATGAAGTATTCTTTGTAGCATGTAGTTTGCAGAAGTTTCCAGTAGTTTCCAACTGCTTGGTTATAATGCTGAGGTTTCATCTTTGGGTAGAGACTCCATAATATCCATCTGCAGTGTGACTTTAATCGACCGGCATGTTTGTGTGTGTGTGTTTGTGGGGGTGTGTGTGTGTCTGGGTTTCTATGTCAGAGGGCGGGGCCGCAGTTTTAAAATCTCCCGGGTTTGCGCGTGCACGTGAATAACTTGGTTTCGTTCGTACGTCATGGCGAAACACATAATGACTCGGTATCAAGGCGACTCGTTTGAAGCACTATGAGTTGACTCTTTTTTTTAGATGAATCAACCGTTTTAAACACTGTACTCTTACAGATTTAAGCCTTAGCTGGATACTTCACTTCACTTAGAGCTGTGTTACAAACTACATGGAGGGGAATTTTCAAAAACCCATAACATGGGCTCTTTAAGAAAAGAAAAGATTTTTTTCAACATTTCTAAACACAATAGTTTTATTAATTCATTTCTTATAATTGATTTATTTAATTTTTTCCATAGTGACGATAAATAATATTTGACTAGATATTTTTCAAGACACTTCTATTCAGCTTAAAGTGACTTAAAGTGGGCTTAACTTTAATCAGGTTAACTAGGCAGGTTAGGGTATAGGCAAGTTATTGTATAGCGATGGTTTGTTCTGTAGACTAATGACAAAAAATAGCTTAAAGGGGCTAATAATTTTTACCTTAAAATTAAAAAATAAATAAATAAAAACTGCTTTTATTGTAGATGAAATAAAACAGATAAGACTTTCTCCAAAAGAAAAAAAATAATATTATCAGACATACTGTGAAAATGTCCTTGCTCTGTTAAACATCATTTACGAATTTTTTAAAAAAAAAGAAAAAAACTAATAACTAATAACTCTGAACTCCACTGCATATATTAATATATTATATTTAACCTTTTGCTCAACGGATTACTAATTTAGATAATTAAATAATAAGATAATTACATGGTACCACTATGAATTCATATTGAATATATTTGAACATTTAAACATATGCTGGTATATTCAATAATTGAATATACCCTGATATTAAACATGCACATTATTTATATAGTGGAAACTTACAATTCTTATGAATAATTATTCATTGTTTAATATTTTAGAGCGGCTTTTAACTATATTCAGATTGTTGTAATTCAGTGGTTGATTATCACAATAGCAAATGCTTAAAGCCTTTATAAGCGATTTATTATCCAACATGAACATTTTCGCATGTTGATCTGGTCTACGATATTGAGAATTCAGACTATTTTTATGCCTATTGTTCATTAGCTCTGTTTAGTAAATCACCATTGGTTAACTTTAAGCTAATTAGTTAAGTTAAAGTTAATTTAGCTAAAGTCAGTGTAATGAATACTAAAAAAAGCATTTATTGATCTTAGGTGATGTTAACTTCTTACTTTAGACATTAACATCAAAAGTTGTAATAATTTTATTAAATGGAGTGAATAACTAATAAAATCAAGGTGTCATATTAATATTGTTTTAACGTAACTATAATATGGCTATTTTCCACTGTTGATTTAATCCTGAGTCTAATGCATTTACTGATAGTAATGATACTTTAAGTGTTACTTATTATACTTTTGCATCGTTTTGCAAGTTAATTTGTATCAAATATATATTTACTCTGAACATGTGGAAACTGAAAATATTCACAAAACTTTTAATTTTTTGTGATTCATGTTTTATTATTTTTTTATTTTATTTTCCCGTTTATTTTTTCGATATTTCCTCTAACAACTTTTAGTCTTGCAAAGTGACTTTTGTTAACATTTTTAATAGTTTAAAATGATATATTGTTTGGGTTTCTGTTGCATATTACGGTACAAAAACCTGGTAATAAACTGCCAGTTTTCCTTCATTTGACAGACTTATCTCTCTATGTATTGTTTATTATGTAATATTTTTAAACTACTAAAATGACAATAAAAGTCACTATGTTAAACTATAGAGGTGAATTTTCAACATCAAAAGTCGACAGAGCAGAGATTAGGGTCCTATAATGCAATTCACAACTGCAATACAGAAGCTTTTATTTATATATATATATATATATATATATATATATATATATATATATATATATCTGCAATTAAT